CACTCCAGCCTGGGCAATAGAGTGAGAGACTGTCCAAAAAAAAAAATTAGACCAAGTTATTGAATGAGGCCAAAGGAAGTATCAAAGTATGGGAGACGTGGAGGCAGGTGGGGCTGGAGAATCAGACCAAGGGGCGGATGCATGGAGAAGGGTGAGTCTGTCACAAAAATGAAAAAAAAAAGCCCATTGTCCAAAGGAAATTGTAAAACCAGATGACACTGCAGAAAAAGCTGTGTTGGCAGTGGGATCAGAGACAATATAATAGAGAATGGAAAATAGAGCTAGTATTCTGTGCCAGGAACTCTCCAAGATGCTTAGTATATCTTGTCTCATTTAATCCTTACAACAATCTTCATGCAAGTGGTACTATGATCCCTGGGCTTCTCTAACATAGAAAATAAGACTTGACTTGCCAAATGTTATTCAGCTAGAAATGGGAGCAGGTGAGATATGACCCCAGGTCTGTGTGACTTTACAGTCTACATTTTTCCTCTATATGCTGAAGAGGGCACGGTGATGTGGAATCCAAGGGACAATAAATTCAAGAATCGGAGGTGCCCATTGGCATCAAGGAAGTCTGTGAGCAGGTATGAGAGACCTCTCATGGGGCTAGAAGTCAGTGGTAGGATGACCTTCCCTGGGCAAGAAGATAGAAGAACAAAGGGACAGAAGGAAAGTTTTGGAGGTGATGGATATGTCTATTACCCTGATTGTGGTGATGGTTTCATGGGAGTATGCGTATGAAACTCATTACCTTGTCCATATTAAATACATGCAGTTTATTGTGTATCAGTTATACCTCAGTAGAGCTGTTTTTCTATTTAAGAAAAGAACGAAGTTAGGTACTAGGTGTAAATTGTCTTGTACATATCAAAACAATGACCTACTCACAGAGATTAGGGCAGAAGGTCAGGAATTAGTAGTACAATTCTAGGAAGGGCGATTTTATGCTGAGCTGCTTAAATACTTCCTGCAAAGATTCATGAAACATGGGAGAATGGTAAAAAGAATCCCCAGGACCAGAGCCGAGCAGAGGCCTAGAGAATAATCTCTCGGATTGGAGAGGATAGAAGGTTCCAAAAAGCGGGTCTCCGGGGATTGAAAACTAATGAAACAGACAGTGTGTGGCAGCTCATGTCTGTAACCCCAGTGCTTTGGGAAGCCAAGGCAGAAGGACTGCTTGAGCCCAGGAGTTGGAGGCTACAGTGAGCCATGATCATACCATTGTACTTCAGCCTGGGTGACAGAGTGAGACCCCATCTCAAAATAATGATAATGATGATGATAAAAACTGATAAATTGTTTGATATAGTCTTTTTGCCATTAGAAAAAAAATAATAACAGTGTGACAGATACATAGGAGCATTTGGGGGGATATTAATGAAGAAGCACTTAAAAAGTAAGCAATTTTTTTTTTTTTGAGACTGAGTGTGTTGCTCTGTCACCAGGCTTGAGTGCAGTAGCGTGATCTCAGCTCACTGCAACCTCTGCCTCCTGAGTTCGAGTGATTCTCCTGCCTCAGCCTCCCGAGTAGCTGGGACTACAGGCATGCACCACCATGCCCAGTTAATTTTTGGATTTTAGGAGAGACGGGATTTCACCGTATTAGTCATAATGGTCTCAATCTCTTGACCTTGTGATCCACCCACCTCTGCCTTCCAAAGTGCTGGGATTACAGGGGTGAGCTACCACACCTGGCTGCAAATTTTTAAAAGTCAATTTTAACTTTGGGACAAATTAAAGTTGTAAGAGAAAGGAAACAATCCCAGCACACTACGGGGTCTGTTAGTGAATCCCATTTAAACTGTGGCTATTAATTTAAACCCCCACACACAAAAACATGTAATATAACCGTACCAAGAATGATGGAAAGAGAAGAGGGTGTGAAAGAGTGAAATCTTCAATAACGATCATTGGAAGTCAATAGATAATGTCCAAGACTGAGACATTGAGAAAGAGCCATATAAATAGTTCATCGAGAAGTATGGAGTTAAATAATAAGAAAGTGGCTAAAGGGCCAGGCGCGGTGGCTCATGTCTGTAATCCCAGCACTTTGGGAGGCTGAGGCGGGTGGATCACGAGGTCAAGAGATTGAGACCATCCTGGCCAACGTGGTGAAACCCTGTCTCTACTAAAAATACAAAAAATTAGCCAGGCATGGTGGCACATGCCTGTAATCCCAGCTACTTGGGAAGCTAAAACGGGAGAATCTCTTGAACCCAGGAGGTGGAGGTTGCAGTGAGCCGAGAATGTGCCATTGCACTCCAGCCTGGGCAACAAGAGTGAAACTCCGTCTCGAAAAAAAAAAAGAAAAAGAAAGAAAGTGGCTAAAGGAGTTCAAACTCGTTGCCACTGGGGAGTGGGTCTGGGTGGCATGGGGGTGAGGAGGCTGGGCAAGGGTGCAGTGTGCAAGCAGCAACTGCTTTCTTTATTCGAAGTCATTTAGTACTATTGAATTTATGAATTATGTCCTTCTATTATTATGGCTAAATTGCTATTTTTTAAAAAGCAGATGAAATTTGAACGATTTAAAAAAAAAAAGAGAAACCACACCAAAACTAATTGTGAGTCTTCTCAAGAAAGCCTCACAGGGCTGGGCTTGGTAGCTCACATCTGTAATCCCAGCACTTTGCAAGGCTGAGGTGGGAGGATCATTTGAGCCCAGGAGTTCAAGACAAGCAAGGGCAGCATAGTGAGATGCCTGTCTCTACAAAAAATTTAAAAATTAGCTGGGCATGGTGACGCATTCCCGTGGTCCCAGCTACCTGGGAGGCTGAGGCAGGAGGATTAATTTAGCCCAGGAGGTGGAGGCTGCAGCAAGCAGTGTTCATGCCACTGTACTCCAGCCTGGGCAACAGAATGAGACCTTGTCTCAAAAAAAAAAAGAAAAGAAAGCCTTAGAAAAACGTCAAACTCCAGCCAATGCATTTAAAGGCAAGGGGTGAGCCACAGGGCAAGCAGTAGGGTAGCTCATTAAACAGCTCTTCTAGAACCACCCACAGCAAGTGTGCTTCCCCTCTCTGCCTCGGAAACAGAGCCACTATAGCTGCAGTGGGCTTTGCCTGGGGCCAGTTCTCAAGCCACTGGTCTTGTTCTTGGGCTTATTCAAACCCAGATTGTTCAGCCCCACCCCAGGAGTTCTAGGAGAACCCAGCGAAGCAGAGAATTCACATTTCTAAGTTCCCAGCTGGTGCTGAAGCTACTGGTCTGGAATCACACTGAAAACACTGGTCTAGGCAAAGGCTGGAACTGCTTTCTATAGAAAGTAGGTAACATGTCTGAGGGGTGCTCCTAAGGGTGCTGAGACCCGGAAGAGAAATACAGCAGGGCTTTAGGTAACTCCAGGGCTCCACAACAGATATCAAGTAGATAAAGAATGAAGAGAGGAAGGAGGAGTAAAAGACAAGGATAGAAATAGACTAAGGTTCCATTCTCCAGAATAAAGCCCTTCTTACATTGATAATTGAGTTCCCCAACCTGCCAGCTGACTGCCCAGGTACTGCACTAGAAGAATGCCTATAAATACTCTTCACCCAATTACCTAAATCCCACAATCAGAATTCCCATTCAGGGAAGAATCGTGTTGATAAACTGCAGCAAAAGCCCAACCCAACTACATACTAATAAGCAGAAACTTATATCATCAATATGAAAGTATGAAAAAAGACGTGAGGAAAATCAGCAGTATAAACAAAGGACTAACATGATAAACAGACACAATAAGAAATAGCTCACCCTGGAAGAAATACGATCCAGGAAAGCAAGATATTTTTTTCTTAATTCTAATGAACAACCTCAGAGAAACGAGCACAAATTTCAAGCAACAAGAATAAGCTGTTATGAAAAAGAAGACTTGAAAGACTTGATTGTTCCCCATGAAGTTTGAGGAACCTAAACAATATGACTGTCAAAAAAATTTTTTTTTTAAGTGAATGAGCTGAGTAATGAATAAACAAAGCTAAAGGCCAGATTAGTGATTTGGAAAATAAAACCAAGGACATCTTCCAGAACATAACTCAAAAAGGCAAGAAAATAGAAGATACAAGAGAAAAATTGAGACAATGAAAGATGAAGGAAGTCCAACATTAATTCTACAAGGAAAGAAAACAGAGAAAGGGAATAAAACATTAAAGAAAGATTAGAGGGGAAAATACCTAAGCTTAAGAATGAAATGAATAGTTTCAAAGTAAAAGGGCCCACTGAATGCCAAGAACAGGGTAATAAGCCCCATAGCCAGAGACATCTTAGTGAAAATTCAGAATCCTAACGATAAAAATGTATATGTGTATGCACATCAAAAGTTTCCAGGAGAAAGCACGTTACCTACTTTAGACTTTTACATAACTAGATGCTTGAATGTCTTTCAAACAGGGCTACTTTATACATTGTTGGGCTCCATGAAAATGAAAATGTGGTACCCCTCGTTCAAAACTTAATAAGTAGTTCAAGATGATAATAACAGGGCATTAAACCAAGCATGGGGCCTTTCTAAGAATGAGGCTACTTATTTTCTTTTACCCCTTTATTTTTAGGTCATTCTCAGCCACCAGTGCCTGTTGTATTTCATGCCACATTCTGTCCTGGAGTGCACACCTCTCATGCCAATAAAGGCAGCCCTGCTTCCAAGTTCTGAGAAGCAGACTTTGAAGCTAGAATTCTACACTCAGACAAACTATCCATCAAGGCAAGGGGATAACGGGAGACATTTTTGGACTTGTACAGATTTAGAAAATTTACTTGAAAAATTATTTTGGCAGTTTCCAGAAAAATGAATGACTCCAAGAAAGAAAGTGGCATGAAATACCAGAAGCAGTGGTACCTGAAAATGACCTAGAAATAAAGAAAAATGAAAGGAAATAGGAGATATTGAGGTATTAATGTGTCAGTGTTTTTTTTTAAACTTCTAAGTTTTAATGGCATTGAATTACATTTTTCTCTATAGAGCCAGTCATGGTTGGTTCAATGGTGAATGATTTTTTTCTCTCTCTCTCTTTTCTTTCTGGTGTCTCGGCACTTGAGGATAGAACCAGGGGATGAGAAGCCACCGGCACCGAAGACATGATGCCAAGGGGGCCAGAGTCCTTTCCCTCTTCCTCCATATATTACGGAGAGCGGGACCACAAGCCCGGTCCCTGCCAAGAAAAGGAGGGTTGAATGATATTTAAATAATTATAATATTGGCCAGGCGCCATGACTCATGCCTGTAATCCTAGCACTTTGGGAGACCAAGGTGGGTGGATCACGAGGTCAGGAGATCAATACCATCCTGGCCAACATGGTGAAACCCTGTCTCTACTAAAAATACAGAAATATTAGCTGGGCATGGTGGCACACGCCTGTTGTCCCTGTTACTTGGGAGCCTGAGGCAGGAGAATTGCTTGAACCCAGGAGGTGGAGATTGCCGTGAGATGAGATTGTGCCACTGCACTACAGCCTGGGCAACAGTGCAAGACTCCATCTCAAAAAAAAGAAAAATAGTAATTATTATAATATTGTAATAGCTTTTAAGATTATTTTTATTCTTAGAATCGATCTATAGTCAAATCACAGGAAAGTATAATTATGGTTACAGAACATAATGTAAATACTATAAACCATGATAACATTTTTTAAAAGTCTAGTAAAGAAATGGAAGGTGAAAAAGAAATAAAATAAAAGTGCAAACTGCATCCACCACAGGAGTCAGTCGGAACTGCCTGAATTTGATACACTGAGAAATAAAGATCTTAGTATTTTATTTGAAGTTGTAAAATATCCCATAGAAGAACTAAAAAAGAACCAAAATAATATATCTAATAAAAACTGATTAGGGAAAATGAGTGACATTACAGATGCATTAAATTCCCTTCCTTCCTTCCTTCCTTCCTTCCTTCCTTCCTTCCTTCCTTCCTTCCTTCCTTCCTTCTTTCCTTTCTTTCTTCCTTCCTTCCTATCATTTTTTTTTCAGGGTCTCACTCTATTGTCCAGGATGGAGTGCAGTAGCATGATCTCAGCTCAATGCAACCTCTGCCTCCCTGGCTCAAGCAATCCTCCCATCTTGGCCTCCCAAGTAACCAGGACCACAGACACGCACCAACACCCCAGACTAATTTTTTTTTTTTGTTTCTGTTTTTCTTTGTAGAGATGGAGTTTTTCCATGTTACCCAGGCAGATCTTGAACTCCTGAGCTCAAGTGATCCTCCCTCCTTGGCCTCCCAAAGTGTTGGGATTACAGGCGTGAGCCATCGCACCTGGCCTAAATTCTTCATTTTTAAGGCAGGGAATTAATAGACACATTCTGCATTGATAAATCAAGAAAGAAAGGTATAATAAGCAAATTTCAGGTTCTATAATAACCATCAAAAAAATTAAAACAGGAAATCTTGAAAACAGAAACTTCTGGGAAGTGGGACTAAGGGAAGAATTTGGGGAGGGGATTGTGATGTTTCTTTTGCATGTTATACTTTTCTGCATTATTTTAATTTTTCTGTGTGCACACATTCTTTCTAAAACTAAAACTAAGTTGAGCAAGAAAGAAAATAAGAGAGAGAGGGGTCAGTAGTATACAGTATGGCAGGATGAACTTGACTTCGTTTCATGATCTACTGGTTACTAAACTGGCAAATCAAAGGAATTAATTGCTACTGTGTCCTAGGCCCTGTTCTAGGAGCTAGGGGTTTAGCCATAAACTTTAACAAGCAAAATGAAACAAAACAACAGTTCTCCTGATACTTGCATCCCAGCTCAGAAAGCTGACATCCTAGGTGGTTAAGTCCTAAAGATATTTCAGACAGGGAATGAGTCAAAGGAGCGCCCAGGGCTAGGGGAATGACATGTTGTTGTTAAAAACTGGGTGACCAGGGAAGGCATCACCAAGAAAGTGACTAAATGATTAAAGGTAAGAAAGTGATGAAGGAGTGGCCGCGTGGATATCCGGAGGGAGTATTACGGACAGAATAGCAAGTGCAAAGGTCCTGGGGCAGGAGTGTGCCTGGTGAGTTTCAGGAACAGCAAAGAGGCCAGAGTAGCTGGAATGGAGAAAGCCAAGGGAAGTATGACAAAGGATGACGTCAGACAGGGAAGGACATGGGGCAGGCTTTTGGCTCTTTGAAGGACTGTGGTTTTATTCTGAACAAGTTGGCAAGAGATTAGGTTACAAAAAGACTGTGGCTTCCATCTTGCTTTCTCTCTCTTCCTCTTTTGCTTTCTCACTTTGATAGAAGCTGGCAGCCACACTGTGAGACGTCCCATGGAGAGGCCCACATGGCAAGGAAATGAAGCCAACAGCCAGTGAGGAACTGAGGCCCTCAGTCCAACAACCCGTGAGGAACCGAATCCTGCCAACAACCACTGAATGAGCTTGGATAAGAACTCCACACCCCACATGAAGCCAATGACAGCCCCAGCAAACATGTGACTGCAAGAGCCCCTGAGCTGGAAGACTCAGCTAAGCCACGCCCAGACACCTAACCCAAGGAAACTGTGAGATAATAAATATTTGTGGTTTCAAGCCACTGAATTTTGGAGTAATTTGTAATGCAGCAATAGATAACTGACTTAGTCCATTTGTGTTGCTATAAAGGAATAAGTGAGGCTGGGTAATTTATAAAGAAAAGATTTCTTTGGCTCACAGTTCCACAGGCTGTGTAAGAAGCATGCCTCATGCTGCTTCCACTCATGGCAGAAGGTGAAGGGGAGCCGTCGTGTACAGAGATCACATGCTGAGAGAGGAAGCCGGAAAGAGTAGGTGGGGAGGTGCCAGGCTCTTTTTAAACAACCAGCTCTTTTAGGTACTAAAACAGCAAGAACTCACTCACTCCCCCATCCAGAGAGGGTGTTAATTGGTCAGGCACCATGGCTTACACCTGTAATCCCAGTACTTTGGGAGGCCGAGGTGGGCAGATCACCTGAGGTCAGGAGTTTGAGATCAGCCTGGCCAACAAGATGAAACCCTGCCTCTACTAAAAATGCAAAAATTAGCTGGGCATGGTGGCATACGCCAGTAATCCCAGCTACTCGAGAGGCTGAGGCTGGAGAATCGCTTGGACCCAGGAGGTGGAGGTTACAGTGTGCCAAGATCATGCCATTGCACTCCAGCCTGGGAGACGAGAGCGAAACTCCATCTCAAAAAATAAATAAATACATGGAGAGCGTGTTAATCTATTCCTGAGGCCTCTGCCCCATAACCCAAACACCTCCCATTAGGCTCCACCTGCAACACTGGCAGCCAAATTTCAACAAGACGTGTGGAGGGGACAGTCATTTAAACCACAGTAATAACTAAGACACCACTGACAAAATTTTAAAACAAATCTGTGCTGGGATTAGAAAAAAGCTTTAATATAGGGCATTTGTAATTATATGCCCAGAATTAATTATCAAGCAAAATCTTGATGGACAAGAACATCAATTTGATTAGGTGCCAATGAGAATCAAACCTGCTGTGTACAAATTTACATACCTGATGCTTGGAAGGATTTCCCACAGGCAAGCTTTTGGCTCATACATCTAAAAACTTGCTTCTGCTTCATTGTTCACATTCTTCATTTCTAATGACTCATTACTACCTCTGATTACAAACTCTTGCCCTCCACTTCCATGTCCTGGGTGAGTCCCATATGAGCAGGAGCGGTCCTGGCTTTCCCAGGTGTGCGGGAGCTGGCTTGTTCTAGCTCATGAGCGCCCACTATTAGCATTTCCGAAATTTTGGGAGGCAGTTGTTAAACACAGCCATTATTCATTAAATTTTGCAAACTTAAAATTAAATAAGTAATACTAAAAATGAAGATGACAAATGACAATACTCCAAACTCATCTCTTCCCAATTATTTCACTATACTTTGCTGTCACTGTGCTCCTGGGATTATTTACATTCTATTGTATTCATGTGAAATGCTATATACCCTGGGGTGCTGCTCTTCCCAACTTCATCTTCAGTGGCCATGGACAGCTTGGAATAGGCCACGGTGGGAGTATTTACACCATGGAAATGAGCAAACACTATAGATCTGGTTGTGAAATATCTACTAGTGGCCACTGGCTCAGTCATTCCTGCTCTAGGAGGCCATGACATGTCTATACAGATTTGATGACAGTCCACACAAATGCGTCCCACAAAAGCCAAACAAAACGAAACCCCACTCTAATTTCCTTAGCTGGATGCCCACAGTACCTATGGCTACTCATACAGTGCTAGGAGGAGGATAAATAGGATGGAGAATAAGTCAGACAGGAAGGAGATAGCCGTTTTAGCCAATGGCAGTTACACTGCCTTTTGAATTGCTTTTTTAAAATGAGATTATGTAACCTCATTGCTCGGACCCCTCCTAGGACACGGGAAGAAGCCCCAGCAAGTGAGAGGCCCTGAAACCTACGCTTCATTAGCTCGTGGTGCCTCTGCCTCTGCCCTCGCCCTCTCCGGGTGTTTCCACCATTCTCAATGACTCCCACCTGGGGTTGAACCCAAGGTTTAGGGGAAAGTGGGTGGGGGGATGGCTTCTCTGTGCTCACTCTGGGAGTCTCAATAAACCAATAAACATACAGAACAAGGACTTTGCATTTCCTCATCCAATCTCCCTATTGGAAAAGAGTTATACTCTTGAGTCATCTTTCTTTTCTATTTTGAAATGGAGCCTCGCTCTGTCTCCCAGACTGGAGTGAAGTGGCACAATCTCAGCTCACTACAGCCTCAGCCTCCTGGGTTCAATTGATTCTCCTGCCTCAGCCTCACGAGTAGCTGGGATTACAGGTGTGTGCCACTATGCCCAGCTACTTTTGTATTTTTAGTAGAGACAGGGTTTCGCCATGTTGGCCAGCCTGGTCTCGGACTCCTGACCTCAAGTACCCACCTGCCTCAGCCTCCAAAACTGCTGAGATGACAGGTGTGGGTTACTGTGCCTGGTCCAATAAGAACTCTTTTCTAAACATGACCACAATACCATTATCAACTAAAACCAGTCTCCCTATCGGAAAAGAATTACAGTTTTGTGCTCATCTTGCTTTTTTTTTGGAGTCTTGCTATGTCACCCAGGCTGGAGTGTAGTGGCGTGATCTCAACACACCGCAGCCTCCACCTCCCAGTTTCAAGCGATTCTCCTGCCTCAGACTCCTGAGTAGCTGGATTACAGGCCTGTGCCACCACACCTGACTAATGTTTTGTATTTTTATTAA